GCTTCAAAAAGATAAAACTACATGCCGTCGTACTCATAATTAAACAAGGGACACGCCTATTTGTGTTCCATGTCACTACCCTGCATGATTTTGTATATATATAAACATGCAAAGCTGATGTTTGATTGTCAGGAAAATGTAACCCTCGACTTGGTCTAGTGGGATCAATTAACAATAGGAGGCTTCTTACCAATCACGAGATCTCATTAAAGACAGTTCACTGTTTGTTTTGTTTTTTGCGAGGCCCTACCATTCTTAGCTTGGAAATGTCAGGGAATCCCCCCCCCCCCCCACCAATCCGCGTTACGAAATCCGGCGAATCAGGGTGAGGGTTTAAGTTGTTGGCCGCCGTCCTTTTTAATTCATTTTATATATGCTGGTGTAAAAATCTGTATTTCAGATCATGAAAACATGAACTGCTAGAGGAGAATGACACATTCCATTACCAACATCCAAACATTGGTAGAAATTCAATCCGTTAGCCAAAATTGCCTTTTGCGTGCAAGCAGCATGCAAACCTAAGGATATCGTTGGTTTTTGTCATCCATAATGCAGGAGCATCAATTCAAATTAATTTATCGGGCACTATCTAATATCTATGTTGGGTTGGGCTCCCTTAATACTGGTTTCTCCCTCTCCAACTAACATTTCTAGCCGGAAAATTACACAAAAAGTTTGAAGCGAAGTAAATTGAAAAGAAAAAGCTAACCATAACACAAGTCATCTTCTCTGGACTCTATTTATTGACCATGATCCATCGGCTACTACCTCCCCCTAAACATGCATAAAAATTGGCGGTCCCGTTATTAGTCCACTACCACACAAGCTGTATTGATTCATAATATCAGTATAGGCTGCATATAAGGTAGGTTTGTTGCCTTCACAGCCTGTACTTAAATGTATGCAGTGGCTATGCTGATGGGTCGATCACGACAAGTTCACAATTCAGTGTTAGCGAAAACAATATACTATATTCGCATGCACGCAATGCGACGCCCACAAGTGCGAAGAAAAGATGCATGTAAATGAGCCATGTGGAATGAATGACTTCCAGAGCTTTCTTGTTACAGTTGGGGTGCTATCATAAGTAAACGGCTAGCAATACCCTCAGAGACAACCAAATGCCAGCTTTTCATTGACCACATATTACAGTTGGACCACAATACTATAAAATATCCGCTATTTGAAGTAAAACACTTGGTGAAGGCGAGGAGAGAGACGACAATGAAACCTGTACCCCTCCTCTCCTGATTACCTATATTTGCTACATCACCCCGCCACTCACTTGCGTTACCTTCCCATGACCTACATCATTGGCTATCATAAAAATTTCCAGTAACCGAGTTTCAGGTTAACAAAAGGTTGAACTGTGAATAAATGTTCAAATGCTATCGAAACATTGATGAAATAATTGTTCAAGCAGGGGCATAATTTTTGAAGATAGTCTTGGGGGCAGTGAAAAATTATACAATGTAACCCCAAAATATCAATGTCTCCCAGGTTAGCATACTTCTTCACAAACTTAGGGGGTTAGGCCCCTGAAAACTGTAAGTGAATAGTAAGTGTGAGTGAATAATAATAAAAGTATAAGTGAATAATAAGTGAATAGAAAAATAGGAACATTTCTGATTTGAAAACCTATGTCACTGGTAACCATTCCCGATCAGGACAATAGGAAAAATGGCATTATCACCTCCTGTTATTCTCATTCATGAGGATTGCCATCAGACTTCAGTATCAAACCCACGGTTCTTTTTAAGGGGAAGAAGGCTGGTCGCTTGTGACTGCTTCAGTGAGTCAACATTCTTTTCGGTGGCTTGAAAAGGCGGTTTGGATAACCACAGGTAATTTCTACCTTGTTCGGATCATCCCTCCGACTCGCCCTAAACTGACAATGCCTCTCGTCGATGAGGACGGGATGCTGAATCGCGGCACCGCCAACGAAGTAAGTAAGTCCAAAAATTAAACCCTAGGCAGGTGTCCATGACACTGCAATGCGAATGCCACTTGCAAAACTGCAGTGCATTGAAACTCACCGCCCACCTCATCAGTTGCATCACAACGATTGAAACACGCCCTTGCAGCCAGGTCTACATTTTTCAGCAGTTTGTCTCGTCTAGTTCGGGACACTGAGGGTCGGCTGTTAAAAACAGCAAGTCGGCCGACCGGCCGGGCCATAGGAAATACATTTATTTGTCGCCGACCTGTCATTGAGTCGGACGAACAGTTAAAAATCAAAGGATATTTGTGTTGCCAGGTTGGAATACATCTAGAGAAGATACCATGTTGCCGTAGAGTACGGTAAAGAGTCTTTACGGAAACGTTTGCTGGTATGTCTGACGAAACGTCTTACCTCTGAGGCATAACATCTATATATGGAGACCTCATGTTATGTTTTGAAGGGTGTCCTGTACTTTTCGTCTTGGCCTTCACCAAAATTCGCTATGCAAAAGCATTTTTGGTAACAAGCCTTGCATGAGCATATATATATATATATATATATATATATATATATGTATGATGACGATATATACATATATATATACACACATACATATATGTATATATATATATATATATATATATATATATATATACATATTTGTCGCCGACCTTATCCACCAAATCGGCGGATTTGTCACCAGTGGTAGAGACAGCATGCAGCTCAGGCTGCTTGTTTTTAAGTCGCACGAAAATAACTGGTAACCCCTATTATTTGTCAAGATGTAAGTTCTTCGCAACTGCTTAATTCTGAAATCAAATCATATTTGTTCAAGGACGCGTGCTCAGGTAGTAATCAATTTCACCCTTAGCCCCATGGTGTTCCTCCAAAATAGATTTCAAACGGCCCGTCATAGCCACGACAAGCTTTGCCTAGCTGCGGTCAATCTATTAGCTAACCTTTTTGTATCAAATAATATATAGGCTTATTTGAGACGATTTCTTTTACAACTAGACAACAGAAATTATAATTAAAAGTAATTCCATCAGAGAGAGTGTTTCACATTTGCATAGGGCTTTGAACTGGCATACGGGACTGAGCTGATGCAGCCATCTTGGAGACCTTAGGTTGCAATTTACAGCCTTGCCCATCTTAGGACCTAAATCCCTATATTTTCGGAGCTACACGTCCGCGAACATGGCGAAGTGCTTCGGAGAGAGTATTTCAGTCACCTTGGCATTCATAACATCTTAGTAACGTCATTGAAATCCTGCGATTTCAGAGGCCAGGCGGCGATCAAGGCCAGCAAAAATATAATGGTCCAGGGCATAACGGCCGTCAATTGGCTCTCAATCAATATCGTGCAAGCTACGATGACGTAATCAAGCAATGACAAATCGACTAGTATATTTACTAAGGGGAGGAATTGTGGTGTCGAGACCAGTATTTTCTACTAGAAAATCTGACAACAGTTATAACTAAGCTTGTTTAAATCATGTATGATGCTATCTTCAACATCTTCAAATGTGAAACATTCCGGTTAACCTTTGGTCTGACATGAAGGACAGGTCGAAGTCACAATTCGTTATGGAATAGCTTTTGACACAGTTTTAGAGTGTGTTGTTCACGGAAAAGTCAACCAATGTGTTATTTGAGCTCGTTAGAGATTAGACGAGGTTACAGACCTAGAACGACGTTGATCAACACTTGGCTTTTAGGAACATACCGCCCAGCGCCATCTTTGACGCCTATTGGAGTTCAAAAATGAAAACAATCTCGCAGGTTTTGGTCAAAGTGGCTTTTTAAAGAGCAGGTAAGGTGACTAACGTAAAGTAAACTTAAACGATATTTTGCTTTGTAGCGGCATCCAGGTCAAAGACGGTCGCATGAAGCTGTCTGGGTGAACTTGGGACATCGATCTGGAGTTTGGTCTTGTTTGACACAAAAGCAATAACCCAGGACCCTCAAAATTTGACACGAGTGATTTCAAGCAGAGGCCTATTGATGACATCTTAGGAGTGGGATAGAGGTCAAATTGACCCCAACCCCATCCTAGCGGCGTCGTATTTAACGGGCCACCTGGGCGCGTGTTAAGGAATTTCAGGACTCATTTCAAGACTAATACTGAAAACCTTGCTATGCTATACGTTCCGTTTCTTTTGTGTGTGTGTGTGTGTGTGTGTGTGTGTGTGTGTGTGTGTGTAAAGCGCATAAGGTGCACTACTTGAAATTAAGAGAAACTTTTATTATATATGTTTATATGTATATATATATATATATATATATATATATATATATATATATATATATAAATCTCTCTCTCTCTCTCTCTCTCTCTCTCTCTCTCTCTCTCTCTCTCTCTCTCTCTCTCTCTCTCTTCCCAGTATATTTTCGCAATGTGTGCGATAAGCAACCCCTGTTTGGCCTTCCCTCATGTTGAGAATGAGATTCAGGAGGTACGTATGTTTGTTCGGCACATGATAGGTGATATCTAATGGGATCCTAGCCGATGGATTTTGACACTTCCGAAACAAATGTTGCGTACATTATCGTAAAAACAAGGACTGAAGTCATGGACAGAATATATGGCATGTTGCTACGCTGTTCACTATTCCAGAAGGAGGGAGCTTTCGGACTCATAAATCAAATCAGTCACTTTTGATACGTTACCCACGGATGCATTGGTATTGGTTGGGACAAAACTTTGAAATAAGTCGCATTTGACGTCGTTGATAACGACCACGCCACGGGCTCCAGTGGAAATCGGTTTACTCCACAGCGGGAAGCGCTAACGTCTTTTGTAGGATGCCCTTGACCTTAACAAGCTTGGCGTGTCTTACTAGTGGAGAGATTTGACTGTAGGACATGTTGACGTAAATATTCAGGCAAAATGTATATGCCAGCCGTATCGCAAGACCTGCTGTAAAAACTGTCACGACAAGCGCCAGACCTACTGCCACGCCGCAGGATAGTAACGGGCACGAAACCACCAGCGGTGTGATCACCAGGCCATTTGCCCGAAGCAACGGCTCGCGTTCTTGCGTTCTGCTCTACCTACTTTGAGCGTGACCCCATGACCTCCAGCTGCCAGCACCAGCACCAGTCCGGCCACCAGCTGACCAGGGGCAGGCGTCATGGTGCTGCTCGCCCAGGGCAGTGTCTCGCCACACTGGTGTGTCCCCGGCTGTGAACGGTAGCCTGCGCCGGGCACCTCTGGCTGGCAGGCTGACCTTTGCCGCCCCCTCACTCTCCAGGGCACCTATGTTTGCACGGAAGGCGTGATGCGATGCCATGTGACAGCGAGATCAGTAAAATGCCGAAGCCGGTGATGGACGCCAGCGACATTTCGTTTGAGCGTTTGGCATCGCGCCGCAGCGCGTTTTGATACTGTTGTCAGCTGATGAGTGCAGCAAGTGCAACCATTCGAACACACCGAGACATGTGCAAAGTCTTATGTCTACTTGGGGCATGACTTGGTCCCCTTGACGCATGCCCTGCACCTAGAGGTGAACGCAGAAAGGGCTTATGATGGATCTTGGAATGCTAAAAGCTCAATTATGAAACCAATATCAAACACTTCCCCGATTTTGCTTGCTTGCGCCCTGGTAGCTGTCTCAATCATCGCGCTAATTCGCCCATTTTGTGATGCGGACTGATAAAGGTGTCTGGTACGACCTGCCGTGTCGCGGCTGCTACCCCCCATGCCGTTCGCTGGCGGCCTCTGTCGGCCGGCCGTCAGCCGCTGCTGCCGACCGCGGCGGCGCATGCGCGGTCAGGGGGTCGACCGGGGGAACCGGGAGCGGGGGCGGGGAGTCTGCAGGTACATCCGAGGTCCTGGTATTTCGGTGTTCAGAAATACACATTGTTCTGCTGTCCGAACAAGTGGCGGCGGGGATGAGATCGCGAGAGCTTGCTTAGTGCCTAGTGCTTGCCGCCGGCCAGTTTTTTCTCGTCTCGCTGCGTAGTACGCAACTTCGCCGATCTCGCCGCCATATTGCCCGCCGCCCTCTCGCTGCGCGCCGCGTCGCGACGTGTCGCTGCCGGTGCCCGCTCCGTATCAGCCCGGGGAGGACTTTGAGCGGTGGCTCCAAAGCTGTGAATACTACATGACTGCCAGCAATGTCACCACCGGCCCGAGGAAGGCTGCCACAGTCCTCACGCTCCTCGGTCTGGACGTGCAGGAGCTGGTGAGCACGCTGCCGTATCCGGACGATGCTCCCGCCGGTGCCTCGGAGTACGACGTGCTACGGCTGAAGTTGACCAAACACTACGCTACACATGTGAACGTGACCTTCGAACGGTTCCAGCTTCAAGGTTTGTCGCGAAACGACGGCGAATCTTTCGAGGGTTTTGTCGCCCGCCTCCGGCTACGCGCTGCGCGGTGTGGCTATGACCGCCAGCAGCGTGAGGACATTACTTTGCAGTGTGCTGTCTCCCGGTGCCGCGATAAAGACCTGCAGATGAAGTTTTTCCACGCACCGCAGCTAACCCTGGCAGCTGCTGTCCAGTTGGCCGCCGAAGAGGAGGCGACCCGCGCGGTGGTGAGCGAGTTGAACGCGCTGCCGCCGCCCAGTCAGCCTGTGGTCAGGCCTTCCCGGACCCGCACCCCGGTCAGTTGTACGCCGTGTCAGACGTTTGCTGGCGTTGCCACAGTCGCCGACACGCTCCTAACGTGTGCCCGTTTCGGAGCGCTCGCTCTTTTGCATGCTCGCGCCGCGGCCATACTCGTGCCGGATGTCCGAGCGGCCGCGGACGAGACCGCGAGTCGCCAGCCGCCGTTGTCACGTCAGCCCGCCGGGGCTGGCATCCGGGGGTTCCGGTGCGTCCATCGCACGCTCGCCGGCCGGTGCGGGGCTGTCGGCTGGGGGCGCGCACAACCCCGCCGTCAGGAGTGGAGTGCGCACAGCCCTCGGCGACTGGAGGGGAGTTCGGCGCGCGCCCAAGCTGCGCGGTGCATGTACTGTGGTCGAGATGGGCACTGGGCCGCGGACTGTCGCCGCCGGCAGCGTGAAGCCCATCCCACGCACCGCGTGGACGAGTCGTCAGGCAGCTCCGGTGCCGAAGCAGACCAGGCCGAGACCTTCTATCACATCCGGCCGCTGGGTGGGACGGTCTCGCCGGCGCCGGTCGAAGTTGATGTGACTATCAACGGCACGCAAGTAATCATGGAGGTCGACACAGGGGCCAGCCGCTCTGCTATGAGCGAGACGCTGGTCAAGAGAAACTGGCCCCCAGCTGCAAGACAAATCAAGACCTACCGGGGTCACCTGAAGACGTACACGGAACAGACAGCTCCGGTGACTGGAACGGCCGTGGTGCGCGTGCAATACGGGACACAAACGGCACTGCTGCCTGTGCTGCTGGTCAACGTCGAGGGTCCTCCGTTGCTGGGGCGGGAGTGGCTTCAGCACCTCGTCCTTGACTGGCGCGCTCTTTTCGGTGGCCGAGGCACCGTCCGGAAGGTGGAGACCAGCCATGATCCGTCTGATGACCAGTGTCCTGCACCGCCGCCCGGCGCCACCTCCGCCGCTACGTCCTCGGCTGTCAGTGACGTCGCTGCGACCACTGGGGCTGTGGTTCCGCCGACGGCAGGACGCCACGGGCCGGGTCCTGCCACTTCTGGGCGGCGCTCCTCCGCACCGTCGCCGCCTACTTCCCCTTCAGCCGGGGCAGTCGACCTGCCTGCCGCTCTGCGGGACCTGCAGGACGAATTCGGTGTCCTGTTTGAGCCGGGCCTCGGGCACTACAATGTCAGGCGGGTTTGTCTGGACGTGGACACCAGCGTCACACCGCGCTTCTTCAAACACCGGCCGCCGCCTTTCGCTCTCCGAGAGGCGATAGAGACAGAGATTGACCGCTAAGTGACAGCCGGCATACTCCGACCAGTCGAGTCGTCCCGATGGGCGGCCCCGGTGGTACCCGTCAAGAAGCGAGACGGAAGTGTGCGCCTGTGTGGAAGTTATGACGTCACAGTGAACGTCGCCAGTCCATTGGAGTGTTACCCGCTGCCCCGGGTTGAAGAGCTTTTCACCACTCTCTCTGGTGGGGCTCAGTACACCAGAATTGATTTGGCGTAGGCTTATCTACAATTGGAGCTCGACGAATCGTGCCGCGAGTACCTGACCATAAACACGTACAAGGTCCTGTTTCAACCAACAAGGCTCGGTTACGGCGTCTAGAGTGCCGTTTCTATTTTCCAGCGGGAAATGGAGACGCTTTTATCCGGCGTTCCGTGCACAGCCGTCTACCTCGACGATATATGTGCCACAGGCTCGTCACCTTCAGAGCACCTGCGCAATGTCCGTCAAGTGCTGGAACGGCTCGCTCGAGCTGGCCTGAAAGTCAACAAAGACAGGTGCGTCTGGCTGGCGGACCGGGTGGACTATCTTGGCTACAGCATCTCGGCAGCCGGAGTGCAACCGACGCCCGAGAAAAGCCGAGCGATCCTCGACGCACCAGACCCGACCACTCTGCGCCAGCTCCGGTCGTATCTGGGAGTGCTACAATACTACAGCCGGTCCATGCCGGACCTCGCTACGGTCGCGACGCCCCTGTATGCCCTACAGAAGAAGGATGCCGTCTGGTCCTGGGAGGCGCCACAGAAGAAGGCGTTTGCCGAGACCAAGCGTCACCACGCCTCCGCCCCGGTGCTCGCCCACTACGACCCGACTCGGCCGCTCGTGCTGACGACCGACGCCAGCCCGTACGGTGTGGCGGCCGTACTCAGCCATCCCGAGGCTGACAAGGACCGGCCGATCGTATATGCAAGCCGCAGTCTCTGCGACGCCGAGAGGAACTACAGTCAACTAGACAAGGAGGCATGTGGGGTGATGTCTGGCGTGTCGAAGTTTCACCAGTACCTGTACGGCCGCACATTCGTCATCAAGACCGATCATCAACCCCTCCTAGCTCTGCTGGGTGGTGACAAGGCGCTGCCACTGACCGTCTCGCCCCGTATTCTCCGCTACCGTCTCAGGCTGGCAGGATACCAATACATGTTGGTGCACGTGGCAGGGCGCAGCTTGAGTAATGCTGACGGTCTCAGCCGCCTCCCGCTCCCTGATGCGCCTCGGGATGTGCCTCCTCCTGCAGATGTCGTCACTCTGATGGACGGCCTTGCTGAAGCCGTGGACGTCAATCAGGTCCGGACGGGCACGCGTCGGGATCCGACGCTTTCCGCGGCGTATCGGCACACCTGTGAAGGCTGGCCCACAGCGTCACCAGACCCTGCGCTCCAGTCTTACTTCCGTCGCCGTACGGGACTCAGCCTGCAGGACGGGTGCCCCCTCTGGGGCTCCCGCGTCGTTATCCCGCCGTCACTCCGAGATGACGTTCTTCGTCTTCTGCATGATGGACACCCCGGCATCGCGGGCATGGAGCGCCTCGCTCGATGCTCGGTGTGGTGGCCAGGCATTGACGCCGACATCGAGTCACGCGTGTGGGCCTGCGATCCGTGTCAGGCCCACAGGGGGAACGCTCCTGGGAACATGCCGCAGCCGTGGACGTTCCCGGACAAGCCGTGGAGTCGCGTTCATATCGACTACGCCGGCCTGGTGGAGGGCAAGTATTTGTTTATCGCTGTCGATACGTACTCCAAGTGGCCTGAAGTCCACGTGACCAGCTCCACCTCCTCAGCGGTCACCATCGAGACCCTGCGCCTGATCTTCGGCCAGCACGGCCTGCCGTCCGTCCTGGTCAGGGACAACGCCGTCGCGTTCACTTCCGCGGAATTCAAGGCCTTGCCAATTAACGGCATTCTCCACCGGCTGAGTCCGCCGCGGCACCCCGCTTCGAACGGCCAGGCCGAGGTAACGGTCAAAATCGTGAAGGCAGCACTGAAGCGACGTCACGAAGGCTCCCTGCAAACCCGTCTGACTCGCTTCCTCCTGTCATATCGCGCCACACCACACTCAACCACCAGACGCCCGCCGGCCGAGTTGCTCAACAACCGCCACTTTCGGACCCGCCTCGATCTGCTTCGCCCAGATCTGTCGGCCACCGTGCAACGCCGTCAAGAGGCCTGGCGTGATCGCCGGATAATGCGATCCTCGCCGCGGACTCTCCGGGTAGGTGGCTGGATGTATGTCTCCCAGATCTCCCCGGGTCCGTCGGCTGCGACCTGGGTCCAGGCGGAAGTGGAAGCCGTCGAGGGGCAGCGGTGTCGCGTCCGT